TCTAGACTATCTCAGAGGGGTGGTTCAGCAGATAATGATGTACCAAGGTGTTAACCAGAATAGACGTGGAAGCAAGAGGCTACAAAAACGGGGTTGACGGGGGAAATATATAGAGGAAATATATCCGAGTAAGAGTGAGAAGATCAACCTTAAAATATGCCGGGAAGGCATCAAGGTCTCTGGTAGGACCTCGAACGGCAGATGCTAACGTGAGATAGACAATGGTTCAAGTAAGTGGAGTTCTACCACTGAGGAGAGCCGAGGCATGCATCCATTCACCTTCAAAGAATTTGAAGACCCCGCCCGTTTGTTACCTACATGGTCATCGGACGATCAATGGTCTAGTTCAAGAAGTCAAGAACGTTTGAAGGATCAATTTACTTAAGTGGCAGCAAACTGTACTCTGAAGGTACGAAGAAAATGTCGAAAACCGTTGCGCCCCGAATGAGCATAGTAAGCAGCAAATAAAAAAGGTTGGGTCAGACTCAGTGCGTGAAGACCCTTGCTGTCAGTTAGTGAAGCAGTCGGTAGAATATCAAATATGTTCATTTTCAACACCTGATTTCGGGTGAGCAGAAAGGTGATGGACTACAGCAACTATGGCGACGAACTAGCGGAGCTACTCGCGTAACATCCCATATCGACAATGGCCGAAGCTAGATCTCCAGGTAGTTGAGTACTATGCCGCCAAAGCCTTCGGTGATATATAGGGCCGCAAACGGAAGGTCAATTGAACCAAATACAACTGTGAAGGCCGAAATGATATCTATGAGAGGGAACACGTGCAGCCATTTCGGGCATCGATACGAAACTTTGTGTAACCAAATTCATCCAATCGCTAACAGCGGTAGTGAATGGTACTGGGGACGCTTGGGATGGTGGGAACCACAGATCAACCGATCATCTAGGTAACTAACACATCCCTCGTGAGTTCCGGTATCAACCGGTGTGCCGATTCTATTGTATGAACCGATGGAGTTGTTAGGGCCACTACGTATTGATCACCTGTGTCTGAAGTGAGTCACAATAGTTGGTAAGACGACTAGGTGAGCGCAGTGGGCGCCTCATTGAATGACTTGTTAAATTTGAACCACGCAGTTCACGCGGTGGTCCAGCATAGTGTAGAGCGAAAAGTGAAAAAAGTTTCTATTGATATATGGCAGAATAACTCACCTACGACCCGCCAAAAGGGCTCAGGTATAAAGCGGTCGACTTCACGAAAGCGTTCCACAACAAAACCTAAAGTAGGAAACTGACAGGACCCATATGAGATCAAACGATCCGCTAAGGAACGAGGGAATACGCGTCGCAATCGCATTGTTTGAAAACGAGTAAAAGCAGCTCCGATACGCAGGTCGAGCTCTTGTCTGGCATCGACAGCATCACTAACACGCTGATCCGGAACCGTGAGGTCTCCAATGGCACGGTGAATCGCACTAAAGAGAACAAAATTAAATTGCGAAGTAGAGGAATAGCATAAACTAACTAAACAAAGCAACAAAGAAAAGTAACACTATTTTCCAGGTACGTTTCCATGTTACATTTAGCTGAGTCCAAATGACGACAGCAGTCTGAAAGTAAGAATTTTATGTGTACCACAGAAGTGGTGCGCAATAGAAGCAGTATTAGAACTAGGGTGGATATTAGCACCAAAAGTGGGAGTTGTCCGTTACCGGTAAACTCCCGACAAGTACAGAAAACTGAGCGTAGGCGACAGGAAGGTTTGTCTCGAATGCTAAATGCTCCGACCATCAACAACAAGAGATTGCGGGAATCTTGAGATCGTAATCAACAAGAACAAAATGAATTCCGTTCAGTTTGCCAAATAAGATCCGTGCACCAAAATGCGGTGCATTACGTTGCCTTAGCTCACGTATTCATGATAATAAGGTTAGTAATAAGAAAAAGAATAGTAGCGATAAGACAATAGTTCGAGGCAAATTACAAATAAATAAAATCAAAACAAATATTAGCGAACAAGCTCGCTTTCAGTGGTTCCTCATCAGAGTAATACAGCACAAATGAATGACATGAATGCAAACATCTTATAAGGGTACAGGTACAAAACACAGATGGTCAGAGAGACAAAGCTAAGTGATTGGCCCCATGGTGAGCAAGATTTAGTTTGTGTGCATGTGTGTGGTGTTGTCCACACTAAATGTCAATGTTCTGGGGACCAGCGTAGTGTTTTTGGACAAATTTCTTGTACGCACATAGGTCAGGGTCATGAGGCCTAATGGTGATTGCCTCGGCCGCTGAGGCTGGAACGCCTCATGCGCTCTGACCTGGTGGTTCGAATCGACCAAGTGTGCAGACACTGGGCTTGCCACTGACATAGTCACGCCGCTATACAGCCAAGCTGGACAGTGTTCCCTGGTTCTCTCGGACAGTCGCCTGGTAGTTCTTCCGATATATCTTGATCGACATGAGCAAGAGAAAGAGTACACACAGAAAGTGGTACTTGACCTTAGAATTTTGTCCTTAAGTTGTTGATTCAGGGTCGGTACTGAGTTGAAGCTTAGACGTAGCCTTGATGCATAGTACGTTCAAACGATGACGTCAGAAAGTCTTCCTGACGTCGATTCAGCCATCCCGTCTCCCTTGAACGGTAGCGACAAGTAGATCGGTTTCTCTCCTACTGAAGCCACTTTTTCTTTTGCTTCCAGTAACCATGTTTCTCCGAACGAACTTCTCCGGATAGACCATTTCTAACGAATAGGCTTCGTAGAAAGTTTGGCCCGTCCGGTAGGGTTTCATCGCTACATATCCTTCTTGCTCGCTCAGTTAGGCATCGAGTAGAACGAAGCTAACAAAATGAGTATATTTCCCGTTCCACGTTGTCTTTCTATGGACGCTTCGTTGGATAGACCCTTCAGATCTTCGGTTAATCTGAACGTCTACGTAAGACCTTGAGTTTATGCACTCATCTTCAAGGGTAAAGTTTATGTTGGCGTGGTCTGAGTTAACTCGCCTCATTAGTTCTTCCGTGCAGAGATGACTATGGATTGCAGAATATATCGTCCACGTACCGTCCGTAGTAGACTAACTTGTTGATAACTCCGTTCAGATAGTTGTGCTCTAAGTTAATCATAAATAAGTCTGCTAACAGCGGTCCTAACGGAGAGCCCATTGCGGCTCCGTCCTTCTGTCTGTACATCTGCCCGTCAAACAGGAATTGTACGTCACTGGTACACATCAAAAGCAAGTGTTTAAGTCGGTCGTTCGAGAGGTCGACATCCACATTGTACAATCGAACAGCATCGTATAGGTAGGCTATCATCTCTAGAGGAACACTGGTGAAGAGTGACACTACATCTAGAGAAAACACTTTATTTCCGATTAAACTGCACATGGTTTATGGAGTATACGAAGCTGTGTTTAGATAGCACTGAAAAAAGAGCCCGAAGATCGATAGTTGTACTGGACGCACAAGGAAGAAGATCGGTTATAAGTGTGCACTGCAAACATGGAAGTGGAGCGAAGTCATATTCAGGTGCAGTGCACTCTCGAAATCATTAATCCGCAAAGTGGGCGTATAGACATTTATTGAATTCTAACAAATATGTAGCCTTGTCTCCAATAGTTCATCCCTCGATGGTCGAAGCATAAAGAATGAGCTATCCGCTTCAGATGCGGTACTACAAGCTTGTACCCGTGCTTTCGAGTGTTGGCTGGTGCATGTACGTGCAGAAGCGGCCTCAGCATAGGGGAATCACGCAGTTGTAAGATCCGGCGCATACTGTAGTCAACTCGAAACGGAGGATAGAGAAGGGTGTACAGCCCGTCTCCTGCAACAAGCTTCTTACGACATAAACCGGAAACTGGGGAATACCGATAGCACATCACCATTGTCCTTCAGCAACGACCCAGGAAGGTAGAGTCTGGGACCGAGTGCCATCTTTGGCCTCACTAACGTTAGTGTCGAATTTCACCAATAAGGGGATTTGCTAAGGAAAAGTTCTAGGTAAGTTCACGTGACCAAATTAGCAATCCCGGCACCATGCGGAAACAATAGCTAGGCTGCCTTGCCGAACAATATCATATTGGTGCAAGCCGAGTGGTTAGGGATCATCACTTTCCAGCGATGTTTCGGCTACAGTCATCCAGGACAAGGTGAGCTTACGCCTGACAAGCGTTCGTCGTAAAATAAGCTACATACGTCTGTTTAGCAGCATTGCGACATGGTGGATGTGACTCGCCACTAAATATAAACACTTTCCTTGCTTCTTCCTGGTAAAGTACTGCATTCCAACAGCTTGCCGCTGAAATTGTGAGGAGGATTGGCCTTAGTTTGCTACCAAACAAACAGAAGGCAAATGCGCTGTTAAAATGTCACCTGTTGCCAATGGATGCAATTCCTTGAGTTCGCTCCGCTGCCTAATAATAATAATAATAATAATAATAATAATAATAATAATAACAATAGTGTCAGTTGTACTCGGAGTGGCATCCTCGAGTAGTATCCCGCCCGCTGAGAACCATTATGCGGATCGAGCTTCGGGCTGGCCTATCATGCATACCAGATTCCCTCGCTATCGATGTTTGTTGCTTTTCCGGGACTCGATTTCAGGACTCCGGCACTGGTCAGATCAACATCTCAGGTAATCTCGAAAATAAACATTTTCTGTGTCTGTCAAGTGACACAGAAGCAGCTGCAGCTTGGCTGGTGTTGGTATTGCAGTGAAGATCAAAGCCGAGGCCGCGATGCTCGATTGGCTCCCGAATGACCATCGACCGTTTGCAGTTAGGTTTCAACGCTCACGCAGGGTCAACATGCATCGTGCAGGGACACCCAATAGTTATGTATTAAGTTAAGAACGACTTGTATCACAAACACCACAAATGTTTGAATAAAGCCGAAAAACCAGACGCCTTCGTCCCAACCGGAGATTTCAATGCGAACGTCATTTGGTGGCTATCATGCCTTTGATGGGGGTCCCTCTGACAAAGGAGAGACTTCTTAAGTTATGTGAAGGCAACCACATTTTACTCTTGGACAAGAACTTTAGGCGTGCGAGGAGACGCGTAGCCACCTGGCGTTCCCCTTCGCCAAGGTAAGCGTAGTACCAAACCTTTCAAATTTCAATCGGCTTCAAATGCAGGGATAAGGTACGTGATCGTAAATCGATTTACTTTACCTACCTCAACTCAAAGCACGTCCTGGTCTGTGTGGACATCAGCAAACACATCGCGCATTCCGCGGAACCAAAGTCCCGGACAATCTTAACAACAGGACAGCTAACCATTCGACCTAACCGGCTTACCAATCTTCCTTATCAGATGCGTTTGCTAGTGCTCTATCAACAGATGTCGAACATCACGGGGGTTTCTTGCAGGTGTTGCTTTCTTGCACTTAATCATTATGTGGAATCACCAGTCGTCCTCTGTGAGGCTAGATCTCTGCTTGCTCATTGGAATAGTTTGCCCGTCGTCGAGCTATCCCGGCTGAGTCCGCCAGCGGTGAAGTCCGCCGCAACCACAGCCAATAACTCAAGCGGAGCTTGAGTAACGATCGCAAACCTTGTAGCCTCAGTGCGTTTCAGAAATGGAGACAGCACCTCTCTATGGAAATTTTCGCAAGCGTTTCCAGATCATTCAGACCACTAGCCACAAAAGACCTGGCGTCAGTGAAACTATTTGCGAGGTTGATGGATCGTTAATCACTAATTTGTCTAGGCGCATGAACCGCTGCGCTGAGCACTTTCCACTCGCGAATCAGTTGACCTCCGCATGCCACTTGTCTAACAGGTATTCTAAACTGCGCGCCTTGTAACGTTTCACGGGAATCACTCACCGAAGCTGAGGTACACCTTGAGCTTCGTTACTTGAAGCGATTTAAAGGTACTGACTCAAACTTCCTCCGGAGCTGTGCAGGTACGGAGAGGTACACCGACTTACAACTTGGCTAAAGAATTACGGAAAGGCCTCAAACATCTGACCAGCGGATCGCAATAGTCGATCAATAATGCACATCAGTTTTTGGAAAAGCTTAAATGCATGCGGATAGACCATGAAGTAGTGATGGTATCCTTTGACATTACCGTACTTTTCACTTCCATCAACTTACAGAGAGCGAAAGAAAATATCAGAGAAGGTCTGAACAGTGGAGGGCAAACGACGGGGAAGGTAAAAACTGAAAGCATATGCAAGTGTTTTACGAGCAAGTTAGAGGAGCTCCAATAGGATCCCCCATATCTGGACTTATCGCGGAAGTCGACATGCAGGGGTTGGAGAAGGATATACTCCCAGTCATTAGTACGAAATTATGGGTGCGATAGGCTGACTATACGTTTGTGATTCCCAAACGCAACCAGCTACAGACCGCACAAGACGTACTTAACAATGCAATGGAAGGCATTCGTTTCACCATGGAAGAAAAGGTGGAAAACCAACTACCATTTTTGGACGTGCTGGTTACTAGAACAGTGGAAGGCGA